AACTGGAGGCTACGGACTTTAGTTTCCTATTGGCTATTGAATTGATTAACTCTTGATCTTGACCCATCCTATCAGTTGGTATGGATCCATAAAAAGAATTTCTGCTAGGAGCAAATGATCTATATGACTGGGCAGACTCATAAGATTTTCTAGCTAGACGGTCAAAGTTGATTTTAACTGTTCCGTCAAAATATTGTTCAATGTTGTCTAAGTTAACTAGACTGTTTTGGATAACTACTGGCTTACTTTCATTAATTAGACACCAATCTGAACGTAGACTAATATCTGACCATCTAATGGTTATGAGGACTTTAATATTTGCATTTTCCTGGTTGGTTTGAATTAAAAGTGTATGGCCTCTAGGACTCTTGGTTAAAGCTTGAAAATTCATATTTGTGCCAGTGACTTTATAATAAACTCTATATATTAGGGCCAAAGGTTGTGTGCCTTAAAGGACTTGGTATCCTGAAGTTTTGATATTAAGAGTGAGTGCTTTCAGCATGTGGGGGTCTGAAAGACTTATGGTAAGGTCTGGAAAACAATCAAAATGGATAGGTCCATTGTGTAAACTTGACTCAATCATTCCAAGTATACTATTACTAAAGTTAGTGAATCTAGCATCTCCAAAATAGAGGTATTAAGGCCTCTACGAGTTAAAGGTTTTACGGCTATTTGAACTAAGCCAATGTGGATGTAGTTATGACCATCTTTCCTATGGGATTTAATTTGATCCGGAGAGAACAACTGACAAGTTTCATGTTTTTTGCTAAGAGCATATGCTTTTTCAACAGTTTTAACATGATGTTCACTTCTAAATGAGGCTACTGACCATTTCTTTCTGTAAATATTTTTACTTGAAACCTTGGGGATGTTCCAATCTCCAAAGTCTACACTATCATCAGTTTGAAAATCAAGTTTTTGTTCTTCATTAACAATATCTGGTAAAACACCTAAATTGGATCTAGAGCTAATGCTGGCCATTGAATTAGATCTAAATAATCTACTCATGTAATTCATAAATCAATCAAACATTCCTCGTGTTCCTCATGTATTCGCTAAACATTTTCCCTGCTCATGCGCTCCGCTCATGCCTCTACCTGGGATTTATTGTTTGGACCACACCTTACTGTTTGGTTGGAGAGTTTAAACAGACAATTATGAGGACCGAGAGATAAGATAAACTGTAAATCGAAAGACTGATTATGAACTTCACGTGCAGATTACAAAGATGCTAATGAAATTACCACTCACTTGGCTTCCAAGAAAAGACGGTTAATGTAATTATGAAGTTTACGTAAACATAGATATCTATGTTTACGCAAACTTCATAATTACAAACAAATTTTCAGTTATAATATTTATTCTAAAAATAAGTAAAACCTTAAATAAATTGATATTATATTCCATTCAATTCAATTATTTAAAAAAAAAAAAAACAGGAATGAAAGACTAATTAAGTCCAAATACATAACTTATAAAGAACCGTAAATTTAAGTATTGTCCTAAAAAACATAAATTTTAAAACTACTATTTCGATGGTCCTCCATTTTGCTCGATGTCATAACGCCACTGCTTGTAACCTCCCTTCAACGTCGCATCCATCAAAACTAATTATTGATCCATCAACAGTATACGTACTTAATAATTCATCCATAACTTCCTTCTTCACATTCTTGGGCACATATTTCCAAGAACACCACTTAGCAGTAGGACAATTATTCTGCATGGCTACACCAATTGCATGCGCAAATTCCACATGTTGCCTCAAATCATACGGGTTGGCAGGCACGCGCTGATCTTTGTTTTTATCCTTTATCCCAGCATGAATAGAATTGTGAAGAATAAGGAGAACATAATTGTGAAGAATAAGGAGAGCAGAAGCGCATATTTATAGGAAGGTTAGGGCCTTTGCGTGACAAAGGCTTTGTCGCACAAAGACCCACATTAAATACAGTGTAGATTCCATTGATTCACATGCACTGAATGCCCTGACTCAAAACTCACTATAACTTACGCGATGAAGCCTTTGTCGCATAAGTATTCCTCTGATTCCCATTCGTTAAATGCTCTGCCCGAAAAACTGAACGAGCTTTGCATGACAAATACTTTGTCGCACAAAGGTTTCGCGAGAAAATCTTTGTTATTCATTTATTTTTGTTCCAAAACAAATCACCTGCAGTTTTCTTATTGGCTTTGTGTGACGAACATCTTTTTTTGGTCATGCAAACATTGTTGCATGATAAAGTTCCCTGTCGCACAAAGTTCACTAACCTTGCGCGACAAAGATAATTTTTTCATTTCGCAAAACATCCTTGCGAAACGGATTTTGCTTTCTCACACAAATCGTTTTTCCTACTAGTGAGATTTGTTATTTAATGTAGTTTCCTTCATGTTTGTAAATCATTTCCAACTGTTTCTACTTAAGAGTTTCATTCACAATCAAATCTGGTTAAGTTAATGTTCATGTTTTCATTAAAGCAAACTTTGATCAAGGAAATGGTTGGAAGGGTCCTAGACCCCCTTCATCTTAGACATACAAAACCATGAATTAAAAGTCCTTGTTTACAAGGCAAGAAAAGAACCTTATACAAACTTAACCCATATGTGATGATCCTTTGATAAACAGGAGGTCTAAATAACTTATGGTGCAAGTAACCAATTTAACTCATACCTATTCAACAATCTATAATACAAAGATAACAGTGGCATGCTCATATCCTCGTTAGTTTTGATTGTGAGCCTCAAGGCCTAAACCAAAGGCCCCACAAAGGCACCTTTCAAACTAACAGTAAACTCGTATTGCAGCACACCAAGCAACAAGATCTTGCCTGACAAGCAAGAAAGAGCCAAAGCCCCGTGGAGCTGTGCGAGGGACCAGGCCCAGAATCCAGCCTGCATAGATCCATCCTAAATGGTGTCACCAACAACGTTATATTTCTCATTATTGATCGTCTCTTGCTTGGTATTGGTGTGGGCTTTCCTTTCAGGTACAACTCCTAGCTAGCTTGCCATATTTATATCGCTTGCTTAATTTACACATGAGTTTAGCGTAACATATATATATATATATATATATAGAGAGAGAGAGAGAGAGAGAGAGAGAGAAAGAAAATTTAGAATTATTGGACTTCTTTCGGACCATATTAAATGATTATGGATGTGTTTGTGTTTAAATCTCGTTTTCAGCAGTTTAGATTGGTTTAACATAGAATACTTCGATATATGGTACAAATAGTATCATTATGCATGAATTAATTAATTAATTATTTGGTGCAGGCTGTTCCTGTTTATCTAGCGGAAATGGCTCCAACATCAATACGAGAAGCACTGAACATGGGGTTTCAAATGGCCATCACCATTGGCATTCTACTGGCAATTCTTGTCAACTATGCTACTGCCAAAATTGAGGGTGGCTATGGCTGGAGACTCTTTCTTGCTCTTGCAGCCATCCCTTCCTTACTGATGACTCTTGCTGCCCTCTTTCTTCTCGACACCCCGAATTCAATCCTGGAAAGAGGTGGCCCTGATGAGACCAAGGAAATGCTACAAATAATCCATGGCACCAACGACGTGGACGAAAAGCTCCACGACCTTATCGATGTGATTGAGGTTGCAAAGAAGGTGGAGAACCTGAACCAATGGAGAAACATCATAAAAACAAGTGTAGACATGTAAATTTCATTGCATACAAATGATGCATCACAAAGCTCTACGTGGCATATGACTTATCACAAATGGACAAGTCATCAATGACATGTGGCATAAATCAAGCAAGGCAACATTCCCAAAATTCTGCTCAAGGGAGAAAACTCCCTTAAATTCAGCAAAAGGGTCTAAAGTGATCCTAAAACCAAAAAGAAAGCTAAGGCATCTTCACAAAACAAGCAAGAATTGAAAATTGCTCACAAAATAGGCAATAAAGCCTCTAAATTTCGGCCAAGGGAGTAAAGGTGGCTAAAATTAAGGCACAAAACATCCCTAAAATCTCCCATGAATGAATTAGGACATAAATCAAAGCCAAATCCACCCAAAGGCAAGCTTTGAGAAGCCTATAAATACAAGGTCATCCCATAAGCATACGGTCGAAAAATTCTACATTGAGAAGAACCTCTACACAAATATTTGAAGACAAATACGCTGCCAAAGCTCTCTCCAAAGAAATTTCAACCAAAGCTGAAGCTTTCTTTCAACCAAAGCCGAAGCACTCCCTTCAGAATTAACAAGCACTCGTGCCTATTCCTTCAAGACTTTGTTGCAAGCTCAAAACTTGTAATGACGTTCGTTTCAAGATCAAGTCGTCAAGACCCTTGAATCAACGAAATTCTACATCAACACTCCCTTTGCCGCAACCCTAAACCTGAGGTGAAGACTCTCCACACATCATTTCAAGCTCAAAACTTGAAGCAATCGTTCAATCATTCGTCTAAGATCAAATCATCGCGACCCTTGGATCAACAACCTACGCATCTGCATCAAATTTGAAGACTGAATCAGAGGAAAAGTTGTAAACAAAGATTGTAACCTATAAATTCAAATCAATACAAATCTACTTTGTACAAATGTTATTGTTTCATTTGTTACAGAATTTTCATGTTTACAAATTTGGCACGCCCGATGTGATATCTCAGCCTCTCATCTTTGTCTTCAAATCCGCAAAAGGCACAAATGACATCAAGAAAAGTTCAAGTTGTTCACACAACGAACACAAACAACAAGAACATCCTTGCCGTAAGTGGTGGCACTTTGGGAGTCCACTAGAACAAAATAGCTCATCTACCACGACAATATAACCACGGACTTTATGAGCTCATTATCAAAAGTACCATTTTACCACGAACATAATAAGCACGTAGTAAATAACAATTTTTATCATGACCAAATTATAGCTTGTTGTAAAATAGCTGCAAATAATCACGCGCAAATTTTCACATTGTAAATATACCATGCTACCACAGACAATGCTTATGGTCAATATTGTTAACATCCACAGAGCCTTTTTGTTGTTTACCACGGACATAATCTGTGCTAGAATCATACACGCTTAACTAAAATTTTGTGAGGAGGCGGGACACAAGAATTTTGCCAAATTTCAAACATTTGTAAAATTTGAAAATTTCACAACACTCTTGAAAACTTCTCAAAATATATTGGTTTATCCCATCCCATCAACTAGCTAGTTCCTGCAAGACTCCCCTCCCCAGAATTTGAACGCCTGCTAAAGCCCCCGCCCCCCGCCCCCCGCCCCTTGCTCGATCTCTCTTATTCTTCTTCTCCGACCCCAAACCCATTTTCTCTCTCTGCAATCTGGGTCCCCTACATCTTCTTCTTCGCCTTGTTTGCATACACTTTTAGAATCCTATTTTTTCTAATTTTTTGGGCGTCTCATTATTCCCAATCTACTAGATCTCCGTCTTCTCCTCCAATTAGAGATCACGAGATCTCGCCGGTGTCTGGTTTGGAGAATACGATTTCAGATGGGTCTCTTTTCACTGGGGGTAATTAAGCTTCATCTCTTTTTATTTTATTGTTGTAATTTAATATATTTCAATTCTTCCACTGTTTAATTTAATCAATTACAAATTATGGGAAATGATAAATGGTTGATTTGTGGCAGTTATATGATTTTTCGTGGATAAAATCATATGGTTGTGTTTTTACCCGGCTTTGTGATGATTATCTTTCCGGTTATGAGTTCAATCAATTGCATTGTGGGAACGAGCGATTTCCCGTCTTAAATCACCAGTTGATTACAACGACAGAGACAAGTCATATGTGGTAGTTAATGGAGTAAATATGTATCATGTTTGGTTTCTGTGCACTAGATAACCTGAATGTGTAAGCAATTGATCAGAAGCAAATGACTTGGGTCAGATGGGAGATGGAGCGGAGCAGCCAAGAAATATGTAGTATATATTTCCAGGAATGTATGTAGTGGCTGTAGTAGATTCGTGATCTAATCATGTGTTTATCTGTTCATTTTTTTAATTGAGATCAAATGTACAGTTCCACCCATAGCAGTACAAGATTCTGTTTTTCTTTTCATCCATATACTTATGTCTATGCAGATCAAAGGAGGCAACAACTTCTGAAGCTCAAGCATTCGAGGCAGTGTTTCACTCTCAAAGTCCTTTGTTTAGAGGTGTTCAAATAAAAATGAAGTGTTCAAGTAACTATGTCTTGGTTATTGGAGGTCTATTTGGTACTTCATATATAAATTGATATTTCTTAGTATAACTCAGTGATTTTTGTTCTTTCTTTGCTTAGTGTACAACTTGTAACTTGAATCTTTGATCATTTAGGTAATTATTATATTGTAGTAAATGTACGAGTTTGTATATAAATATTAAGTATTTATATATATTATATTTCTTAAATAGTTTTTTTATTATTATTTTTTAATTGTGGAAATTTTTTTTTAATGGACATTGGCTGTGGTCAATTAGTCATCCACAACGGCCATAGTAGGTGGTGTTAGATTTCAATTTATCACAGACATAATTTGTGATGACATCCCATTTGACAACAGGCATTGTTTGTGGTAAAAATAGATATTTTTTATCACATCCTGAATACTAAAAAAAATAGATATTTTTTATCACATCCTGAATACTAACGGACACAATGACCGTGGTGGATTGCAATTTATCATGGGCATTCACCGTGATAGATGAACTGTTTTCTTCTAGTGGTCATAACCCGAAGCAAGGCAAGAGCTCTTTTTACCGTGCTTTCCACTCCTACATCAACCCTACCAAAGGAGCAAAATCACTCGAAGCACAAGCTTGTGATCACCTTGGCCTCACTAAAGGTGCTAAAGGAAGAAAGCTTGATGAGGTACTCCGAGTTGTTGACTTCTGATGCCGACTCAAGCAGCAGTTCATATCCTGTAGCCATGCAAATCATGATTACTAGTCCGACTTCCATCGAGGAGTAGCTGACATAAGTGAGTGAAGCAATCGCAAGGCTGACAAGGACCGTGGATGAAAAGGACTTATAGATTGCTACACTCATCAACCGTCTAGAGGTGCAGCATGACGAGAAAGCTGACTTAAAGGTTGATCCACCAAAGAAAGAAATCGATGAAAAAAGGAGCCTCTGGTGGAGAAAGCTGAAGAGAAGCTGGAGGCGGACTAAGCAACGGCGCTTATAGGATTTCTCTCTATCCAGCAGTTGCAAGAGATGATCACTAGCACCATCAAGGCGCAGTACGAAGGAAGCTCACATGAGTCCGTACTGTATTCAAAGCCTTACTCTAAGAAGATTGACGCCTTGAAGATGCCAAGGGGTTATCAACCGCCAAAATTCATGCAATTCGATGGAAAGGGCAATCCTAAACAACATATTGCCCATTTCATCGAAACTTGCAACAACGCTGGGACTAAGGGAGACTACATCGTCAAGCAATTTGTGCGCTCGCTAAAAGGTAACACCTTTGACTAGTGTATCGACCTCGAGCCCGAATTTATCAATAGCTGGGATCAGCTTGAAAAGGAATTCCTCAACTGCTTCTACAACACCCATGCAACGTAAGCATGTTGGAGCTGACAAGTACAAAGCAATGAAATGATGAACCTGTCGTCCACTACATCAATAGATGGCGTTCATAAGTCTAGACTGCAAAGATCAGCTTTTTGAAATCTCCGCCATTAAGATGTGTGTTCAAGGCATGCACAGGGGGGGTGGTTATATTACATCCTCTAAGGCTTAAAGCCAAGAACGTTTGAGGAGTTGGCAACTCGGTCTCATGACATGAAGCTGAGTATTGCTAATCATGGGAAAAATAAGCCAATCACTGACTTAAGAAGGATAAGGTGTTTGCTCCAAAGGTAGACAAAACTAGGAAGAAGCCCACCAATGAAGTTTTTACCATCAACATTATTCCCATCAAGACCTCATCTGTGCCTGTCAAGATCTCCTCAAAAAACAAAACGAATGTGATGAAGAGATGTGAGCCTTCTCGCACCCAAGATAGGTACAAAAATACCTTGATGGAACTAGAGCAGAAGACGTACCCTTTTCTGGACTTTTACGTGGCCGCAATGCTAGATGACCTGTTGGAGAATAAAGTAATTGAGCTGCTTGAATGCAAGCGCCCCGAAGAGATGAATCGCGTTAACGATCCTAGGTACTGCAAATACCATCGTATCGTGAATCATCCAGTTGGTAAGTGCTTCGTCTTCAAAGAACTCATCATGAAACTAGCACAACAAGGGCAAATTGAACTCAACCTAAAAGACACGGTCACAACAAACACTGACTCGATTATGTTTGAATTCTTCGATCTCGTGCCTTTCCAAGTGATGCATGACCACTCTCGTCCATGCTTAAGCTACACATCACCTTCCGTACAACCATCACTAAGGGCAAACAACCAAGACGCACATACCGATGATGATGAAGGATGGACCTTGGTGACCTACAAAAAAACAAGGAAGCCAAGACCATAAGCCACACGGCCAAAAGTGGAACATGGGAGAAAGCATCGCCGCTGCAACAATAGGAAGCCCAAAAGAGATGTAAGAGCTGTTAAGCCAACATACGTTGGGGAACCTATGGAGCAAGAGCCACGCATTCCCTTCTTCTTGCATGAGTACTTTCCGAAGGATTTCTTCCAATAGTGCACTACCGTTGCCTGTCACATGGTTGAAATAGAGATAGAAGAGCCCTTAAAAGGAAAAGCTATCACCATCTAGAAAGAAAAATCCTTACGCTCGAAGAGAGCCTGCCGACACACTTTAGCATTGAGGAGCGCTATAATTGCCCAAGGAGATGCGAAGAGCACTAGTAGCAGTCTTAGCAAGTCCCGACAACCATAAGGTGCAAGAAAACAAAGGCGAAGGCTTAAACCTTTGGCCGCATGAATATGTCACATGATGTGCTGCCCAAGATGCAATCAACTTCATTAACGAAAACTTACTACTAGCGTCAAAGCCTCATAACCGTCATTTCTTCATCTCTGGGTACGTGAGAGATAACAAAATCAATTGCATACTTGTGGATGGTGGATCGGCCATAAACATCATGCCAAAGTCAACAATGACTACAATCAGCATCAAGGTAAGTGAACTATCCTGAAGCCATCTTTTAATCCAAGGTTTTAACCAAGAAGGACAAAGAGCGATGAGCATGGCCTAAATCAAAATGACCATGACGAACTCAAGTCAAGCACGCTATTCCACGTGATTGACGCGAGAATTTCCTACAGCTTGTTTTTGGGAAAGCTTTGGATCCATGAGAATGGAGTGGTGTCGTCTACCCTCCACGAATGCTTAAAATTCTACTGAGAAAGGGTGAAGGTGATGCAAGGTGACACCAAGCCATTCACCGAAGCCGAGTCACACTTCGCGGATGCCAAGTTCTACATGGATGAAGAAATGGTGCCCAAAGCTTTTTCGAAGGAGATCAAGTTCACAGGCAAAGCCGCACCCAAAAAGAATAAGTGGTACGTCGTGCCCAAAGAGCAAGAAAGGGAAGCCATGCCATCTTCAAGCAAATACGACGATGAGCCTGCTAAGCCTGCAACAACCAAAAGGAGTGTGACGCCCTCAAAATGACCAAGCACACTCGTCTTCCGATACATCCCAATGTCAAAAAGAAAGAATGGGCAATCCTCGTTTGAAACTGGAACAAGCAAAAACAACACACAGCTACACAAGGACGATGTAAAGTTTCTCAAGACAAACGCAGTTTTACCTCTGACACAACTAGGTGATGCTAAAATTTCAAAACCACCTCAAGGCTTCGTAAAACCCTTGCCAAAAGGGCCGGAACCAAGCGTTCTTCCAACCAAGATGATAGAAGAAGGTTTCAACCCAAATGACTACAAACTCATGCCAAAGGCTCGGTACGATTTTGCCTCCCCTTCAAATCTTGGAAAGAAGGTTTCAAACATTGTCAATGACAAAGAACATGACCTCATCGAGACTCTGAAGAAGTTGAATGACAAAGAACATGACCTCACCGAGACTCTGAAGAAGTTGAAGGAACATGGTTATGGAGTTAACAACAACAAAGCTGGACTTGGCTTCACACCAAATACGTCCGTGAAGATTTCAAGCAAAGCAAAAAATGCTAGCGCCCAACACATCAATGTGAGAGTTGAACAAAGTCAAAAAGAGCCTAAACCCGCCCCTCGAACATCAGTCTTCGATGGGCTGAATCACCAAAACCCAGAATTTTGACACTTGATCGCATTGATGGTCAAGACCAAACCTCTGTCTTTAAAAGGTTTAACACACCAACACCTCAAAGCTCTATTTTTTAAAGGTTGTCAAAAAACCAAGAAACAAAGCAACATGGTTATCTCTCCTCCACAACGGTCAGCCTTGGAAAGATTTCAAGAAACCAAGAAACCTTCTAAGAAAAAGAAGACAACGCCAAAGGAAGAAAAGCTCAACGGTTTAGCAGAAAAAGATGACGTTTGAAGCTCGATTCCTTCAAGGATGAAATGCCAAGCAACCTTGGAGGTTGACACAAAAAGACCACTGGAGGTAAGAAGGTGCACCATCATCCACATTGGCCATTTTTCACGCCAACAAGCCCAAGATGACAGCACTAAAAATGAGGTCTAAGACGTCTTCCATATCACGATCCAATAAGACAAAGAATAAGAGATCCCCAAGGAGGACGTCACTGCTACGCCACCACAGCTTGAGGATGGAGGCAAGCTACGATTTATGATCTCAAAGAGCTCAACTTAGGCACAAGCGAGGAACTGAAGCCTATCTTCGTAAGTGCATCACTAAGTATGGACAACATCCAGGAGTACTACCAACTGCTCTTGGAGTACGAGGACGTCTTTGCTTGGACCTACAAAGAAATGCCCAGCGTTGACCCTACTATCGATGTGCATCGTCTTGCAGCCAAATCTGGAATGCAACTGATAAAGCAAACTCAAAGACATTTTTGATCTGAGCTCCTCCCACAAATTGAGGCCAAGATTGACAAGCTAATTGAAGCAGGCTTCATCTGAGAGTTGCAATACCCTATGTGGATCTCCCACATCGCCATTGTCCTTAAGAAATCCAGGAAAGTAGGTGTTTGCATAGACTTCTTAGACCTTAACGATGCTTGCCCAAAAGATGGCTTTCCCTTGCCAATCATCGAAATCATGGTGGACGCAACCACTGGCCATGAGGCACTATTATTCATGGATGGCTCATATGGTACAATCAAAATTGCATGGCTCCCAAAGATGAGGAACTAATAGCTTTCCGCACTCCAAAAGGTATATCCTGCTACAAGGTAAAGCCTTTTGGCTTGAAGAACGTTGGAGCCACATATCAACGCGCCATGCAGAAGATCTTCAACGACATGCTACTTAAAAATGTAGAGTGTTATGTAGAGACGTGGTTGTCAAGGCCAAGAAGAGATCTGATCACTTGAAAGATT